TTTTTAATTACTCTCGCTATGAAACAAGAAGTACTAAAAAAATCCCACATCAAACTGAGTAAATAAACATTTCTTATTAGACACAATTATGCATATGCATCTTCCTAAACAATAACAGACCAGACGAAGAGGGGTCAAGTTTACTATGACCACTCACTTAAGTAAATTTATTTGTGAGTGCTAATTGGGAAAAAATAACATTTTGCTTGCAGTTGCTTCCGCTCTTTTTGAACTTGAGTGTTCCTCAGCTGTAAGCAAGTAAGACCTAACAATTCACACTTAGGAACAAAATATTTTTGTGATTAGAAAAACACAGTGTCTGCATATTTGGCATATATGTTCACCACATTCTCCTCAATAAATTAAACAAAACCACACAGACATAGTGAACACAACCTTTGGCTGAACTAGTTTTCAGAATATAAAATAACTAATTAACGCAAAGGCGGCTGCTGGAAAATTTGAGCACTTATTTAACAATAGAGCTGTTGGGAATGGACCACCATTGTTGTTAGTAACACATTTTGGGGGAAAAAAACCACCATCAAGACACACTTGTCTACTGAAATACCAGTGCAGCTGGGTGCCGAGGTCAGTGAGGCTGCTGCTAACTCTAACGGATGAAGAGTTGGTATTAAGGAGGCTGAAGTCCTAAATGAGTAAGATAAGCGTTCTAGAAAAGTATTCGGTTGCTCTGCAAAGCGAGAAGAGGCCACAACTCAACTCTTCTTACGCAGTTATAAAGGGGTCGGTGAGGCACCGAGCGAGCAGGGGGCACGGCCGCGGCGGTACCGTGTGTCCCACGGCGCGGTACACGCTGCAGACCAGACTGCATCAGGTACTAGCCGGGGGCTAAGGAACACGCGTGGGCTCACACGGCTGAAAGCCCCGCGTCTGGTCACCCCCCTCTCCCAGCCCTCCCTCGGGCTCCCCTCCACCCCCTCTCCCCCTCGGGCTGAGCACTTTACCATGTCCACATTCAGCGGGCACCCGGCGCCGAGGGCCCGCCCCGAGGAGCGGGGGCGACAGGTTGTGCGGGAGGCAGGAGAGAGGGAGCGGGCGGGAGGCGGCCCCGCTGCCGCCGCGGGGGCGGGCAGGGACCCGGGAGGAGCCACCACCCTCCGGCGCCGCCTGCGGGGCCCGGCCCGGCTTCTCCGCGCTGCGGGGCACGGTCCCGCCTCGAAACCTTTGAGCCTCCGTCCGCAACTTCCACGTCCCCGGAGGCCGTCGCCCCGGCCGCGGAGCTCCCCGGGCACGACGCCTCCGGGAGACGCGGCCGGTCCAGCCCTGCCCGTCGCCGCGCCCCTCTCCCACCCCAGCCGGAGGCGCCGGGGAAGTGGGAAGTCCCAGAAAAGCAGATCCCGGGAACCTTCCCCAGGTGAGAGGAAGCTCCAGCTCCGCTCGTAGCCGCTGCCCCGGGAGGGAGCAGGTGAGGGCAAAAACTTCCATAAAATATTTAAATGGGCCAAACTTTCCAAGCTCATGTTTCTATATCCAAACAAAAAATGATGGCAAAGAAGTGTCAATGCTGATCATATTGCACAGTCTCTTACTGTTGTCTTTCTCTCATGCAAAACCTTAAACACTTACTGCCATGAATTATAATTTTTAATTACTCTCGCTATGAAACAAGAAGTACTAAAAAAATCCCACATCAAACTGAGTAAATAAACATTTCTTATTAGACACAATTATGCATATGCATCTTCCTAAACAATAACAGACCAGACGAAGAGGGGTCAAGTTTACTATGACCACTCACTTAAGTAAATTTATTTGTGAGTGCTAATTGGGAAAAAATAACATTTTGCTTGCAGTTGCTTCCGCTCTTTTTGAACTTGAGTGTTCCTCAGCTGTAAGCAAGTAAGACCTAACAATTCACACTTAGGAACAAAATATTTTTGTGATTAGAAAAACACAGTGTCTGCATATTTGGCATATATGTTCACCACATTCTCCTCAATAAATTAAACAAAACCACACAGACATAGTGAACACAACCTTTGGCTGAACTAGTTTTCAGAATATAAAATAACTAATTAACGCAAAGGCGGCTGCTGGAAAATTTGAGCACTTATTTAACAATAGAGCTGTTGGGAATGGACCACCATTGTTGTTAGTAACACATTTTGGGGGAAAAAAACCACCATCAAGACACACTTGTCTACTGAAATACCAGTGCAGCTGGGTGCCGAGGTCAGTGAGGCTGCTGCTAACTCTAACGGATGAAGAGTTGGTATTAAGGAGGCTGAAGTCCTAAATGAGTAAGATAAGCGTTCTAGAAAAGTATTCGGTTGCTCTGCAAAGCGAGAAGAGGCCACAACTCAACTCTTCTTACGCAGTTATAAAGGGGTCGGTGAGGCACCGAGCGAGCAGGGGGCACGGCCGCGGCGGTACCGTGTGTCCCACGGCGCGGTACACGCTGCAGACCAGACTGCATCAGGTACTAGCCGGGGGCTAAGGAACACGCGTGGGCTCACACGGCTGAAAGCCCCGCGTCTGGTCACCCCCCTCTCCCAGCCCTCCCTCGGGCTCCCCTCCACCCCCTCTCCCCCTCGGGCTGAGCACTTTACCATGTCCACATTCAGCGAGCACCCGGCGCCGAGGGCCCGCCCCGAGGAGCGGGGGCGACAGGTTGTGCGGGAGGCAGGAGAGAGGGAGCGGGCGGGAGGCGGCCCCGCTGCCGCCGCGGGGGCGGGCAGGGACCCGGGAGGAGCCACCACCCTCCGGCGCCGCCTGCGGGGCCCGGCCCGGCTTCTCCGCGCTGCGGGGCACGGTCCCGCCTCGAAACCTTTGAGCCTCCGTCCGCAACTTCCACGTCCCCGGAGGCCGTCGCCCCGGCCGCGGAGCTCCCCGGGCACGACGCCTCCGGGAGACGCGGCCGGTCCAGCCCTGCCCGTCGCCGCGCCCCTCTCCCACCCCAGCCGGAGGCGCCGGGGAAGTGGGAAGTCCCAGAAAAGCAGATCCCGGGAACCTTCCCCAGGTGAGAGGAAGCTCCAGCTCCGCTCGTAGCCGCTGCCCCGGGAGGGAGCAGGTGAGCCCGGACTGCCCCCCTCACACACGCCCCCGCAAATAAAGCCGAGACAAAGTCACCATCTGGGGAGGGGGTGGGGAGCTGTATTAGACTTGGAAGTCACTTACCGGCTTTGCAAGGGTCCTTATAATCTATCGCTTCAGCTTTATCCTCTTCAGTGAAATCGTAAGTGTAGTCATAATCAAGGCCAGCGCAGGAGGAAGGCTTCCCACAGACAGTCCACCCGGCCAGCCACAGTGCCATCCTCCAGCAAAGCATCTTCATCCTCCCTCGGGCAGAGAGGCGGTGGGCAGGGTGCAGATGAATTAGGCAGCCGGTTCAGCTGTCCACGCCGGCTTAGGAAAGGAGGGTAGGGGATGGGGGGGAACCACAGGGTTTGGGGGATTCGGGTTGGGTTTTTCTTTTTTTTTCCCTCCTCCACCTGGAGGCTCTTCGGAGGGACGGCGCTCCCTAGGTAGCCCCGGTTAGACGGGTGCAGCGCTGAGTGAGGAGCATGAGCGCCACTGCCCCTCCTGCCCCCAGCCCGCCACCTCGCCAGGGAGAAGTCGCTGGGTGTGTGGGTGGGCGCAGGGGGTGGACTCAGGCCGGGAGATCCTGTCTGTCAGGGCGTCCCCTCGCCTCTGTCAAACCCCAGACAAACTTCCCGCGGAGGAGGAGGAGGCGGCGGCGGCCGCTGCCCGCGTCCCGCTCCTCGCCCGGTCCCGCTGCTGCTGCCAGAAGATGGATCCGGGCTGCACATCAGCAAACTGCCACGGGGAGAGGGGGAAAGAGAAAGAAAGAAGGAAAGAAACGGGAGCCGGGGGGTGGGGTGCGCTAGAACAAACCGCGGAGCCCGGGTGATGGGAGGCAGCAGCTACGCTGGAGGGAGCAGAGAAAAGTGTCAGAGCTTCCCCCTCTCCGCACAAACACTTACTCTAAGCTCTGTCTCTGGTCTGTCCGCCCCCCCCCCACGCACACACACTCCTCCGTCCCTCTTTAAGTTAAGAAAACCTTACAGGCAACTAACACACAGTCGTCAGCATCCTGCTTACTTATTCATACAGTCAGGGTCAGGATCCGGGCTGCTTCTGATCTGCTCCCTTGATAGTCTTATGGAAACACACGCGCATTCACTATATGCCTCTATCTCCATATAGATTTCTCTCTAGATAAGCAGTGCATGGCATTTAAACAACAACAACAACAACAAAAGAATCGAGATCAGATAAAACAACGCACAGATCGACACCCGGCAGCCAAAAAAAGCTCGAGAGAATGGGTGATGAGGAGGACGATGAGAGGAATTAACTGCAATTTAGGAGACGGGAAAATAAATCAGTGGCTGTGTATTTCGCCTTCTGCTGCGGCTGCTTTGCAGTGTTAGCCCCATGAGCTGACGGGTGGGGGTTAAGGAGCGAGGGGGAGGGGGAAAGAGAAAAGTTTAAGCGTCCATAGTTTGTTTTAAAACAGAGGAAGGCATTATAAAAGGTCCATTGGTCTCCAGAAGTTCAGCCAAGCGGCTGGGAACCGGTTCCAAAATGAAAGTAAGAACAAACAAACAAACAGAAAAAAATAAAAATAATCAAGGCAAACAAAAAGTAAAATCGCAGCAGGCAGCAGCGCCGAGATCTTGCCGTCAGGCTTTCCTGTTCTCACGTGGATCTCCAGGAAAGCGGTGGAGGTTTATTTTCCAAGCGAAGTTTCCGCGGGAGCCGCCGCCCCGCTCCTCTCCGCGGTGTCCAGCTCCGCGGTGTCCGGCTCCGCCGCTTCAGCTCCGCGGCGCCCCGAGCCGCTGCCGCCGCCGCGGGGCCGGGTTTTGTTTTAAAGCCCGAGAAGGGATCAGCGCGCAAAGCCTCATTTCAGCCGATCAACCTGGAGAAGGATGGGGGGAGGAGGAGGAGGAGGAGGGAGGAGGGGTGGAGATACGTGCTGCTGGAATAAAATAAGATCAAGCGGAAAATAAAAAAAAAAAGAAAAAAAAAAGATACGTGTATGTGGGTAGCTAAAGATCTCCCTCCCTCCCCGCCTGCCTCCTCCCCTCCCCGAGACGGGCAGCTCCCTCAGAGCAGAAACGCCTGAAACTGTTTCAGACCAAGGTGAGACTTTTCCGTAGCAAACTCTACTCCTCCTCCTTTTACGAGTTTCCATGGAAAAGGGCGGTGGGGGGAGCGAGGGGTGGGGAGCAGGGAGTTTCTCCTGCTCCCATTTCGCCGGGGTGTCACATTTAACACGGACTTTTGAAAGGGCTGCCGCCAAGAAGTGGCTGCGTCTTTCTCTCGCGTCCGAGCCCGCACAGGGCTCGCTTTTTCACCGCAGCACTTCCCGGTCGCCTTCCTCCCGTAGCAAGGGTGGAAATCCGGAGATAGTCCCTTCCCCAGGCCGTGCCAGGAGCCCAGGCAGAGCCGGCGGCTCGGCGCGCCCCTCACCGCTGCCTCAGGGCGCAGCGCCCCCCGGGTACCCGCCCTCCGCGGGCGAGGACTGTCCGCGCCGCCCCAGGTGCCTCCGCGGAACGGGGAAGGGGGGGAGTGTAGCGCGGAGCCGGCGGGGGCGCGGTGAAAGGCAGTTACGCAAACTCCGGACAGGCACAGCTTGCAGTCGCCGCTATCGAGGGGATGGGGACAGGCACAGCTTGCCATCGCCGCTATCGAGGCCGAGATGCTCCCAAAAACGGGGGTGGGGGGAGGAGGGAGAGAGAAGGCGAGACAAAAGCCCTCCCGCCTGCCCGAAGTTGCCCCGTCTGTCCCTGCCCTCCCTCGAGTGAAGGGTTAGTGTTGCTATAGATAGGTACTCTCAGCGGTTCATACCGTTAAAACTGCAAAGGTCAGTTAAGACAGAGCTAATAACAGCTTAATAACAGAGCATATTAAGGAGTCTGGCACCGAGTAACATCAGCGTCTTTGAAGCATCCGTGCGTTTTGCTTCCTTACATTTTTTGGCATCCAGGTTGTGTCCACATTGCTCCCAACTCAATCTCGCTGCTCCAAAGTTGAAAGTCAAGGGATGAGTAGCTGCCACTGAAAAGCTGCAGCCTTCAGTAAGGAGTAGCTATTCTCTGTCCCAGCAGCTCAGTTTGCTGTGTGTCACGAGGCCCACAGAAAGCACCACATACCAGATCACAGAAAAGCCTGAAAAAACTTGGGGCCTTTTTCCTTTATCCTCTTCTTCAAGGTAATTTCTGTGACCAACCGCCCCAAACATTTGGAACTGATTTCAAGGTATTTATCAGAGACCCTTTCCTGTCCACCCATCAGAGCAGTGTTGGCGATGATGACTGCTTTCACCTGCACAGTGTCATGGTTTGGTGGGCCATGTTTTGCTAAAGAAGCCAGTTTGATCCAATCAGAAATCTGGTTTATGTTATACACGTCCACAAATCAGATAATTTATCCCACATTTAATTACATGCTCATTTCACATACCAGATCTCCCTAACCTGGTTTTGTTATTCTGCTCAGCCTTGTTTTGCATGTGCACACCTTAAAAAAGTTAATTTTCTTTCCTGCACCTCAACCCCCAAAAGAAGCAACCCCCCGTCTAACAAGCACATATGTTTGTCAATAGAGCTTTAGAAACACTGACTTTGCTGATTGCTTTGCAGGCCCAGAAGAGGAATGTACAACGTGCGATCCTTAACACGCCGGTCTCCCCAGTGAGGAGATTATTAGTCTCCCTCCAGCGGGAGATTAACTCTCCCAGCAAGGTAGGCACTGACGTCACCCCCAGCCTCCAGCCGGCAATCTGCCCCCGACCTCAGCGTCACCAGCCCCAGCAGAGCCAGCACCAACCGCTCGCAGCCCGGAGGACAGCTGGCCTCGCAGAGCCCTGACTAAGACAGGAAACCAACTCAGAAACGCTAGATGGGAATCGTGCAGAAATCTGGGCACATAAGTGCTGTCACAAATAAATGCGTGTATAGGTCAGGGTAAAAGCTGTTTTCTGCTTGTAATCCAGAGCAGCTACACGTTAGAATTACTGTTTAAAATCAGGGCTGCGGCTCTGCAGAAACTGTTCTATGTCGCCTAGATATTAATATTCCCATCAGTCACATTAGTAAAAACCTTTTCTCGTATTAAGAGAAATTTTTTCCTAGTAAGCAAACTGGTTGACATTTTTAAAAAAAAAAATAAACTTTCTCCCTAAGTAACCTGTTAAATATTCAATCTAGCTTCTCTCATGATGAAAAATTTTGAAACATTTTAAGTACAAAATATTTTTTCTTATCACACATTCATGTCTACCATTCCAAAAAGCTCACAACTCTGATAATCCATCTGACAACACAGTCAATCAAAAATCCATCCTACAGCCGTTTCCAAAGAAACGAACACATAGCCAGGAAGACAGAATGCTTAAGCTGGAAGGAAACCAACCAAAGGAACACAACAACAGCAACAACAAAACTCCAAGCATTTCCCCCTTTCCTTTAAATTTCCTGGTTTGGGGGTATATTGCAGGGACACAGATAATGGTAAATGCAGTTATGTTAAAAGTGGTGGTGGTATTTTTTTACATATATATTTATTTTTTTTTAATCCAGGAAGCTAGAGGCTTTTCTGCGCTTCCTACACACGCACACAGAGAAAAAAAAAAAAAAGAAAAAACCAACCCTTAAAAAAAGGACAAGTATGTAAGAAAGACAGACACAATCACAGAACTAAAAAAACACATCTGAAACATCGTTGCTCACACCTCCTCCTCATTCTTTGGCTATCTGTCTCCTTCTCAGGCCTCCATCTCGTGTGGAGTTTTAGGTGGGTGGACACAATGGGCTTATTCACAAACATCAAGCTCAGCACATGCCTAAGGCTTTGAAGGCTGAAGACCATGGCTGGTCAGTGGGATTTTTCAGGAGGCTAACACAGTGAAGTTCAGTGGGAGCTGGTTACCTTCCTGCTTTTATCTCCCGATAAATCCATTCCTTGTCTTTGAGGTACCTAGTGCTCTCCTGAAACAGCTGAAACCATGTTTAAGTAGTTCCTGGTCCCGCAAATTGCTGTTCTGTAGGGAAATACCAAAGCTGACTTCTGAAGCTACTGAAACACATTGTAGAAAATAGGCTGTCTACAGCAACAAACAGGCATATACACAATCATAAATACATACCAAGTAAACTATATAAACTGAAATTGAGCTTTTGAAACTAAAAATCAAGCACTCACAAACTTAACAGCAGTGAGTTCAGCTGTGAAACCCTATTTCTCCGCTCTCTCCAGCATCTACTCATGTATTATGGAAGTTGTTCATTGCATGTTCATATACAATTATTTTTTTTCCTACACATCTCTCTGGCAATTAACAAGAAGCTCTTCAATGCTATGTTTTCTGTTTTGTTTTTGAAAACATACCCCATGCTTTATTCATTACACAGTTATACAGATCCTACTCTGCATACAGAGTTATTAATTTCCTCATGGGCTTTTTATGGAGCTTGTTGCTACAGTATTCATGTGCTTCAAAAATATTAATTAGTTTGGTTTCATAATGCACCCCTCAGATGAGGGGATATTGTGATGGGATATGAATATTACACATGGGAAACAGTTATAGATTGCCTGGTTTGATATCTTGTAGACCTGTCAGGGGTTGGCACTATAGAAAACATTATTTCTTCAAGGCCTGGTTCCCACTGGTTTCAGCTGCAGTAATTTTACTCACCGAGTACCCAGAACTATTTCTAACCAAACCCTGTAGTTCTCAGGCATCTGAAAATGAGACGCAAATAATTAGCAAGAAGTGTAATTTTAAAGCCTTGAACCAGCTTTATCAAGAAACTCTGTGGCAAAGGCATGGCCTGAGTCAAATTTCAAGCTGTTCAGTTTGCTGAGGACTTCAGACACCATTTCTCTTCCCATAATTCCTTTTCTTCAATACCTTTCAGTTTCTAGAATAAGCATGACCAGACTCGTGCCAGCAACAGCTTCATCATTAGTGACACCCACATAATTCATCTTCGAATCTTCTGCTCTTCCACACAGTACCTGCTAGCATGAGTAGGTAGTCCTGTGTTTGGCCCAGCACTTGAAAAGATGTGTCTCTCTTCACCACTGGATTTCACAGTTATTACTGGCAGAAGAGGGACAGCAAATCTTGGGATTCCTTCCAAGCTCTGGGAGAGGGTGTTTTTTAATAGCACACTCCCATCTGCTTGCTTCCTATTCCCATGTTTTGCCTTATCTTGGCTTGTTATTTCTAACCTGTCTTCATTCTCTCTTCAGTCTTGGCTGTTCCTCCCAATTTTGTTTTTCTTATCTAGTTAATGCTAGTGTTTGATTCTCATCCCAGTTCCAGCTGTCCTAGTTGCACTTTTCTTCACTCTTATTCTGGGACTCCTCCCTCTCAGCTTCATCTTCAGCTGTTGCAGGGTTGTTTTTTGTTGTTTTGTTTTCACTCTTATTATCTAGTTGATCCTTTATGCCTTCTCACCTGATTCAACTTCTAGTTATGTTGACGTTCACCTTCCTTATCTGTCCTTTACTCCAAGCACCACAAAGTGGGGCTTGCTTCTTCCCATTATTTCCCAGTTAGAGAGTTATTCTAGCTCCAGCCCTTACAGGTTGCTGTTCAGGCAGTTTTGCTTGTCTACAACCCTCCGTCTACCTCTTTCCTTTCACACTGTTACTTCTCAGGCCCAGGGTCCTTATGTAAAAAATTTCATTGCCCCAAAATAAATCCACTATTCCCATTGCTGATTTCTCCTAGTCACATCCTTTCTCAGGGGTTTTGTGCTGACATTACCATGTTGCTAGATCAGTTCTTCTTCCTCATCTATTTAAGTCAGACAGCCTTCCCCTCCTTATCCCATAGGTACCACTGGGGTGTATTGAGCATATGAAATCATCCCTTCTTCTCAATTAAGTTCCAGATTCAAGCAAGACACAGCTCAAAATGATCATGTAAAAAGCCATTGCAGGTGAGACACTCGAGTTAGAGAGCTGCTAAACCTGCATGTATTCAAGGCTGACTGTGGTGATGTTTAAGCTGATAGTAATGTTAAAGGGGAAAAAAAAAAAAAGGCCTTCACATAAAGGCTGATATTCTCCTCATTTCTATTCTACTTAAAATACAACTACATTTCCTACAGACTGAGCATAGTGAAGCACTTCCAAAATTACTGCTATGATTATTAATTAGGAACAAACCTGTATATTTGCAAGTTTCATTTTCAACCTGGATAATTTAAGGTAATATTCTAAAAGAAATGTTGAAGAACAAAATAATTAAAACTAGAAATCAGATTGCAGCAGATACCCAGTATGGAAAAATGTCATACCAAATCTTTACAAGTAAGCAAAGATATATAAGAAATTTAAATAGTATCTATTGGCAGACAGGATCAGTCAATTTTAATATTAGGCACCCAACCAGACTCTGTTTATAACATCATGTGTTTTATGCCCTCTCCATTTTAATGCTCTAAAAACTGCAGAAGAACATAAAACTACATTGAGAACACATACCCATGTTAAAACAAGTAATCAAGCAACAACAACAAAACCAGTGGTGCACTACTTAAATTAGAAACTGTTCTGTGTTTGCTCAGCATCCTTGATCCTCATCAAGTAATAAATCAATTTGCAGTAGCTGTGGACAGCTATTTAAACACAGGGCCAGAAGAGCTTAATTGTTAAAGCAATGTTTAAAGCTAGAAGGTATAGGAGGTTAGTATAGAAGGTCATATTAAATATTCACTTGTCTGAAACCAGCTGCATTCCAAATATTAGAAGGCATCCTGCCCTCCTCTTAATTAAAAAACAAAGTCTACGAGCTCTGAGCTTAGCAGAGCTTAGCTTGCAGTTCTTCAGAAGATAGATAGAGACTGCCAGATGAAAAACTGACATCTACATGTTTGCCAACTTAATTTCGTTTGGTTTACTTTATTGTCTAGCATGCAAAAAAAAGGCTAAAAGCTGTTTGCTTTGAATTTTGTAGTTTATTTTTACAAGTTGGTAAAGCATTCAGGATTCAACTCTCAACTTTTTAAGAGGCTGCTCCTTGTCAAAGTTGACAGCAAACTTGCGTTTTACTTGCATAGAAGCTGAACAGGATCACTTATCAGTCATCATTCTGGACATTGGTAGCTCGTCAATACAGTTTCTTTGGCAATTATACAATAATGTAAGTTTAATAAACTGAAGCAGTGATATTACTACTCTTAAACTTGTTCACCCTTCGTCTATGAATGAACGTTGCTGTTAGACTGAGAAGTGACATTTGTTATTAGACTGACTAGCATACAGGGTTAATCTTACCCTCCAGTATTCAGCGTACTGTCACATAGCTGGGAGTCAGTGGCTCATTTTTGACAGAAGAAAGCCCCTAATGAGCCTGATCTTGAGTGACTGCTGAGCATTTTGATCTTCCGTTCATTCCTAGAAGATGAAGCAGCTCAGCACCTTGCAGAACAAGGTTCACTGCTTTGAGCCATACACCGCTCAGATGAAAAGCCTCTGGTTTAGTTTACATTGTAATTTATCACTTGCCATAAGCTTTCTGGCACCTACTGCAGAAAACATGTAACACTGAAACTGGTGGTAAGGAATCAAAGCAAATAGAGGAACCCTGTTTTAATTGCAGATTCTACATAGACACAATGTATTCCTCTAACTCCCCATCACTGAAAATAAATAAGGCCAACTCCCAGGAGTAAGAAAGACAGTTGTCTTAGAGAAAGCAGCTAGAAACTATGATACAAGCACTATCAATGACAGCAACATTGTCCTGTAGTTATCAGCTTGCTTTATTTGTGGTAATACTTAGGGAGGTTCTCTACGCAGCAGAGAAATTTTACCCCTTTCAACATTGTCTAACATATATTTCATTGATACAGGTAGTATCATACCTACTGAATTCTACAGCGCAGCTATCCAAAAAAACCCCTCACATACCTAAAATGGCTTAGCTAGTACCTTTTTCTAATCTTCAGTGGCATAAGATCAGAAATGTCTATAGCAAAATTAATTTAATTGCATTCATATTATCCAACTCTTCCCAAAATTATTTATACTGTCCTTATCAATTCTTTTTTACTACAATTGAACATTTTCCTAGACTACACAGCATAAGATTCTTTTAAAAGAAGACAGTGATGCACCATGCAGCAATAATTAATAACCTCTGTCTGGAGGATTCAGGGATTATAATGTATTTGAAGATGAATGCTCTTTCACTCACTGAGGTGGTAATTTTGTGCAAACCCCAATCAATATTTGCTGTAAATAATACATATTTTACAGTAATTGCACATATATACAGAATATACATACCCATTACAATTTGAGCTCAAACTACAGCCATTTCAGTAGAGTTTTCCTTCAGGATGGTTAGAGCACTAAGCCTTGCAAGTCATTTTTCTTCCCCTCCCCTCAAAGCTATACAATTTGCAATGCTAGATGTGTCACAGATGACTGACTAGAGAGTTATTGGCAATTGTGTACATGTGTACACATACACTCTCACAATATAAAGGACCCAAACTGAAGTGTGAGATCAAATCACTTCCAAAATTAAACCACAACATGGAAGCACCATTTACATAAAATTTTCATCCTTCCAAGAAAAGGGTGAAAGATGTCCCAGGCACCACTTATACAGGCACGGTTCTGGGTTGCCTGTAACACAAAGCCCAGCCTCACTGCAAAAGCAGTGTATTTACTTTCTTCATGTGCTGCAGGTCCGAAGAGTTGGATTTACTATGCACGCTCCAGGCATCTAGGTGTGTGTTTCCCATGTGCTAGCAGGAGTGCCCTTTTCAGATTATGCACTGAAGCCTTTACTTTGTGAGCACAGGCTTAAAACATTGCACACATCAACAACTCAGAATATTCAAGTATTGAGAATAAGGATCGAGGTATATGTTCATATCTGGGTTTATTATTATGTAGAACTGCCACAACAGGTAAGACTCTTTAAAGTTTGCATGCAGGTGCATTTTATTTGTTAAACAGTTGAACTGGCCATATAAAAACTGTACTTCCCAACAGCTAAAAAAAACCAACCTAACTCAGTCTACCATAAGCCAATTCACGTCTGCATGGATCCTCTTTTTCAGCAAGTGACATGAATAGTGGTTTGCAGGACAGGCATTGCAGATAAATGCAACAAGACATATTATTAAAGTCCTTGTACTAGAAAAAAAATGTAACATAAACCCTCAAATTTTGCATAAAATGCTAACAGTGAAAACAGTCAGAAATCTTCCTGGTTTAAGAGTTAACTTTGCTGAAGTTATAGCTCCTGACTTCTAAATGATTAATATAATCTTCAATTTGTGAAAAGCTCTTCTACTACTATTCCTTCCTGAGCTTGTTTTCTCCTCTCTGTATGCATACACAAATACACTGAAAGCCATTACTTTGTCACCCAACTCTCTTTAGAAATCTATAGTGTCCATTTTTATTCTTATCTTTATAAGAAATTATTTCAATTGGTGTCAAATGTCAAACTATTTATTGAATACAATTGTTGGCATTCGCATACTTCAGTTGATTCAGAATAAGGCTGCTTGATATATGTATAATGAGTTCCCTATTCCTGTCCAAATTCCATTTACTTTAATGAACATTTACTTTAATGACAGTTTGCCAATTGTCTCCATTGGTAAATTTGGATCTTTTGTTGTTATCGCTTGCTACAGTTCTTTCTCTAACTTCCATCCGCACTGTCACCACAGTAACAGAATATTTGTTTGGGAAACAAAGACATAGGAACACGTCTGAGGTTTGGTTCAAAAAGCAGTGGCAAACTAGATGAGAAAGCTGTCTTCTGAAACCCCAAGTGATTATATTTTAGTATCAGACCTTTGACAAGCAATATGTTGATGTAGTCTACATTTTTAATGTAGTCCTTCAGATAGTGTAAACATAATTAAGTTAATCGGGTAGTTTGCTAGGGAAGTGCTGAAACACCAGTAGCAGCTCAAGGACTTCAATGCAGAAAAAGAAATTGGTACTTACAAATAAATTTTTTTACTCATTTTCAACAGTGAGCATTTAATGAGCATAATACAGAAAACACTGCCCGGTCAAACCTACAGTTAATATCCAGGTTAAGCTCTGCAACAAAAATAATCTCACTTGTACCAGCATTAGGCCTCTTTCTTACGGATTACCTGACACACGTATTCAAAAATAATTAGCTGCTGCCTTCTTCCCAGACAGGAGTCTCCTGCCCTGGACAAATCTGGTTTTTAACAAGCAACGAGAGCCAGCAGGAGAGAGGGCAGCACATGGCCCCGCCACGGTGGCCTTTGCGTCTGTTCCCAAGGATCACCTTCAGCCCGCGAGCGATGGCACCGAACGCAGCTCGCAGGGAGGAGGGCTGGCATCCTTGCCCTGGCGAGCAGGTTGTGATTTTTTGGCATCCTGCGACCCCTAGTGAGAGCCCTGGGCGGCCGGGCCGCCGCCTCCCCCGGCCGCGGTCCGGGTCCCTGTGGGGTCCGGTCGCCCCGGGGCTGCCAGCGCCGGCAGCTCCCGCAAGGCGCGGGCTGTTTCCAACGCACGGGCAAAACGTACCTCTGGGATTTCCGCTTCCCTCGTTACCCGATGGAAACGCTACTAGGAAAAGACATAATAGCCTTCTTGCCTTCGGTTGCTTTGAAACAATGCGCCAATTGTATCGCAGAGTCACAAAAAGCTGCTGTTTGTGTAAACTCTCAGAGCAAGGGAGGGAGAAATGGGAGACAGCATCCATCTTCTACATACGTACACATAAATAAATAAAATTGGCAGCTACGCTTCAGTGAGCTCTTCTATTTAACTATGTGCATGGAAGGCCTAACCCCCTGCAAATAACGATGGCCATTATGGAAACGGTATTTGTTTGCCTGCTGGTGTTAGGAAAACATTGGTGAGAAGTTAATCTCACAGCAGTCGAAGTTGCAAGCTAAGCTTTTTGCTGTTGTCATCATGCTTGGATCCACCAGAAGAGTGGAGTTTAAAACAATGATTCTGTTCTAAACTTATACATGAATTAAAAGCTGAAAATGTAAACACCCAATCATCGAAGAGGAAAGGGTATTTCTCAAATTGGTTTAGTTCTCTCAACTAAGATCAACTTAGTATTCATATAAATGCATGGGAATGTGTTTGTATATACACATAATATTATCTGTCAAACTGTTTTATACACTTAGACATAGTATACATGCACTTTTAGGGCCACATTTAATTGTATGAAATGGGCATCTGCTCTTTTAATTCCTTCAACTTATCAATAAAACACAGAAACAATTCTACCTAATGCTAAAAATAAACATGCCAGAACTTTAATATTGTGATTGTCCAATACAAAAGAAAAGGCACGTTAGTCTGTGCATGTCCAAATAGTTTACTTTTTCAATAGAAAGATCTTGACAATCTGACTGGTAAAGACCTGTTATCTATCAGATGAAAAGAGTCCAGGATATGAAATGCACCTGGTTTTCAAAGACACACATTAACGTCTTTCACTGCATTCATTTCCAAAGAAAGAGTAAAGGCCTAGAAAGATGGCTTTTATTCAGCCTTTTACATAAAAATAATTATGACTTGCCTTTAATGAATAGTATTGCCCTCTTATTTGTAGCTCTCTATGGTTAAAAACTCAAAAGCAAGCTTTCTAGTCATTCAGTCTTCCTAGTTTCCATTTGCTCATAAGTTGAGTTGGGTCCAAGCCGTACTTAGAACCAAAACTAAAAATTTCAAAGATCTTCAGCAGTTCAGATCTGGAAACCTACTCTGAACTTTCTCAAACAAGTTTCTTTAGGAGTTGAAGTTCTCCTAGATATTTGAAATTCTCCCAAATGTTTGCATGGTGGGAGTGTGGATAACGTGAATGTTGGACAAGCCCACAATTGATTCTTTTAATTGGCTGAGTGCCTCCTTGGTCACCATTTTAAGCAAGGTACTGTCAAGCCTCCAAGAAAATGACTAGTGCAGAGAATTAATTGTTAGTTATACATATTCTTTGTATTTAAAACACATTATAATATGCTTTGAAGGAAGGGAGTCCACCTTTATGTGGTGACTATCACCATTTGCATAACCCCATAATAGTACACTGGTGAACAAATACTCAATAAAAGAGCTATATCTCCTCTATGTAATCTGTCCTCAATATGTCAGGCTAATTTTTCTTTAACTTTGCTCCAGTTATGGGTAATCTATTACACAGAAGTTTTTATAGGCCTGTTTGGCTTAGCACAGAAGCTGCAAACCCCAGTAATGCTGATAGAATCCTGTTGTGTCACAGTGAGGGAGGGCAGGGCAAACAGCCCAGCAGAGGCAGTAAAGCTGGTTCTGGGTAGCAATGTACATCATGTTGATGGCTTGGTTCATGGCTATTGAGTCTTCCACAGCCGTATGAATTGAATCATAAAAAAAATCTATATTTTTTTATGCAATTGGAAGTGCATGTTTCTGAAAGTAAATTACATAATTTTTAAATCATATATTTTATGTTCAAAGTTTTATCTGATTTACTAAGGATTGACTTAAGCAGAAGATAGATTTATTTTTTTTTTAATGGCTATAAGAGCTTGCTTTAAACCATTAGTTCTTTTACCTTATAATTTTGGAAATTCTCACACAAAATGCAAATTCTAAGTTGATATTTACATACATTCTCTGTAGGTGTCAGCATTGCTTTACATTGTTGTACAGAACTGGTTTTTTTCTTCTCAAAGAAAGAAGAAACACAGACTTGTCATTTTCCAAATGAAATGTTTTTTCTGCTGTCAGTTTGTCTTTTACTACCCATTTCAGACTAAGAGATTTAATACCATATTGTGTAGGTGCAATAACAGTAAGTGTACAGAAAAAGCCTACAATATTTTCCTATGCACCTGTTTTCAGTTTTGAAATGTTTTTATTCCATTCCAGTTATTTTCTGTATGAATATCATCCTTATTGATGTAAACACAAGGTCCATGTAATATTTACAAATATTCTTCAAGCGTTGCAAGGAGCAAAAATTCAGTGATGCTAAGTAAACAGTGGATCTACCATCTTTACACAGACTGTAGAGGAATACTGGACCAGAAGAAGTTCTTATCATTTTCTAGGTGGAGTCCTCAAAGAGCCACCATAGGGCAAATATTAGATAATACTTTTACTCATAAACTTACCATACAAAAATTAAGGTATGCTGCCACTGAGATCTGTTAATAATACATTATTGAAAATAATTATCCATGCAGAAGGGAACTAGACTGTCATACTAGAAGTGAATTACATTGGGAGCCAAAGTAATAGCAATTGGATGAAAATCAATTGTACAGAGTGCAAGGTCATAAATAAAGGGTAACAACAAGAATTCTTTCTAGGATCTCAGGCATAAAGTGTGATCAAAAAGAGATATGGATTAAATAGTCAAACAAAATTATTATCAATTTCCTGTACCCATGAAAGATAAATCCAATCTAAGCATCTTATGAGGCAAGATATTTCCAGTAAAGAAAGAGCAACATTGATGACACTGTTACAAACTCAAGCATATATGAACATTATTTGAAATGGTGCATATAATCCTGACCATTCTTTTGATAAAAGGAACGGAGAACCTCTTTTCCAGGAAGCTATTAAGAGAGCACTTCAAAAATCATGTGAAGGGATACATTAGCTTCCTATAAAGTGGTAGGAAGCAAATTAACCGCATAACAAAAATAACATCAGCACAAGGGCAAAATGGCTACGAACTGCTCAAGAATGATATTAAAACCGGGAGAGATATTCTGACACAGACACTCAGGAGGATTAACAAAGGAAGAAATCCCATCTAATTTTCCAAGAGAGTTCAAAGAGAGCATATGACCTGCCTGCTTGGTTTAAGAATGTACTGGAGTCCACATCCCAGGGAGATCCCAGTAGCTCAATCTTTCCTTTGCATTACAGGTCTGAAACAAGACTTTATTGTTGGTGCTACACCATTATCTATTGATAAAGTGCTACTTACAGCCATTGATTGTGGGCAGTTTTAGTTGGCCTGTTCGTAAGTGAAATCGAACAGATGAGAGATATTTTTGCAGTAGTAGCCTCAGAATCTATTTAGACTAGAATTATCCTTCTTCACTATAAGTGACATGCATCAATTACAGAGTCTCTCAGTGTTGGCTGGCTCACAACCAACACTTTCAAGCTATTGCATTTTAATTTAGATTTGGATTTCACATTGGGCAGGTACTTAAGAGCAAGTTTTACCTTCATATTTGCATAACACACTCTTTAGAAAATATTACTTCTGAAGATTTGTTTACATTTTTATCTTCTCTCACCCCCTCACACTATGTCTCTAATAAATTTGTCTATAAAACAGAAGAGCAGCACTGACTTATTTTTAGGTCATCTCAAAAATACTTAGAGGCTCCTATTAACGGCACAGGACAATGCTGAGTTTTCTATAACTCTGCGGTTGCAGAATCTTGTCTCTATCATAGATTTGCCCTTGGGCTGCAGAATAAACAAAGAGATTATTTATAGCCCTTCTCATAAAAAGAGATTTGATCATTCAAAAAGAAGGCAATGAATTGCACAATACTTTCTATATCCCCAGGCTTACTAATATTAGTGTTAAGGGAAAGCTGATGTCACCTGATCTGTCACAGTCTCTGCTTTTGTACATCTCTGGGTACCACTAGGCCAAAAAGGTTAAGTATTATCTTTGTATTCATTTATTTGAATGTTGAACAGTTATATTGTCATGATGGATTTAGAAGTACTGTCCTCCACATGAATTACATCAGATTGTTATACAATGATACAGGAAATAAGAAAAATCAAAGTAGCACTTTTCACAGTCTATCCAAAGAAAGGTTTAAAGAAACAGGCGGTTCTGACTATCTGAAATGACCCATAGTTATTACTGTTACTAATGACTTAACTGGCCTTCTCAAAGTCATTCTCTAGAGCAAATATCCTTGCTTTGGAGGAGCCTGATTTAAGCTACACCTTACAGCATGGCACAGAGCACAGCTGTGCTTTTGTGAGAGCACCCCTGGCTGGAAGCCTCACTTACTCAGCTGGATTGACTTCCCTGTAGCTCAGGGTACTTGTCCTGCAGTGGCAGCGATGTTCCCCTTCCCATCTGTGCTGAGTACACACACTTCCATGCCCACAATCACAGCCACATCTGGACTCTCCTCAACCCTGGAAAAGTCTCAGTTTTTATTATCCTGAACTAGGTAGGGTTGATTGTTATGAGTAAAAACTCAAGTTAAAACATCCAATTATGAGTTTATTTTACCTAGCTTCTATGATGAATAACTACTTAAAAAGCAAGATAATATTTTATGAGTCAAAAAAATACACTGAAATCCAGCAGAACTACCAGTGATCTCCGTTTTTGTTACCTTGCCCTTTACTGCTTTCTATAAGAAACACCAAATCCAAAATCCAAACTCTCACTAAAAAAAAAAAAAGATTTTAATGTTCATATCCTTGAAATAAACTGCTAAAATGTAGAATAATGACAGATTGAATAAGTTCTCACACGCAAAGAAATATTTTTAGACTACTAATGTATTGCCACTACATTTCGTTA